GGGCAATCCACTTGTGCCTTAGCCTCTTACCGAGTCATATCTAGTACTTATTGGACATAGGCAGGGCCATTCCTTGGAGCAATGACAATGGCACAATGACATGACATTCCTGCACTCATACATGGAATTTGAGTTTGCTGCTATTAACCACTTTCCCTGAGTCTCATCATTCTCTTAAGTCCTGCCTGAAATCAGAACCTACAAGCATAAAGGGCCCTAGCTGATTTCTTTTGACCATGACACTCAGCCATGCTGTTGAGAAGAGATTCCTGCCTCAGGTTGGAGTTGTCTCTACATAACTATTAGGAAGCTGGGATGATAGTCAGAATTTCTGGGGTGTTTACATGGCATCAAAAACAGTTTTCAGGGAAAGACATGTCAGTAAAGGAGAACCTAGGTTATGAGTGGGAGTGGGGAAGATTGTACTTCCCTTTTGCCTCTATAGTGGTAAGGATAAGGGAGAGAGAGCAAGATTGGGGAGAGAAAAATATCTATAAGACAGATATAAATTTATGAGATTTCCAGAGTTTTGGTAACCACTAGAACATCCTTTAATTTCTCCTTGTTGCCTACGCTAATCACTGTCCAGCCACCAACAAAGAACAACGTGTGGATGTTGGGTTGGGGATAATTCAGTAAAAGGCTGGTGTGGGTCAATGTCTGGGGTGATGAGTAGACAGAGGACGATAGAGGAAGATGGGGAGACATGGATTTTGATGAGAACAGTGTGCCCACCCCTCCCAACTGGGGGCAGGTGTTGACCTCACTTCTGGGTGGGAGCAGGTTGGAAGGGAGTGATGTTCTGGGTTTGATGTCACTTTTAATGTGACCTTGGATCACGCTCAAGACTCACCCCCACCCCAAACCCCACCTGAGAGTCTTTACCTCCCCAGGAATTTTGCCCACCAAGGCCATTTCCTTTCCCCAAAGCATTCATTCCCACAGGGCCTAAAGGTCACACCCTAACCTTCTGGAGTGAACGAGTTCTCTCTTCTCCCATCTCACTCGGGCTAGTGCTGTGTGCTTTCTTACCATTTCTGTACGGGATGTGGCAAATGGTTTGGTTTGGGGTAGGTAAGAGGGGTGCTGCTGAATCATTTACCAGAACCTCTAGTATTTATGACTGGAAAATTGTGGGTCTTTTTCTTTCTGTCTAATAGTTAAGTGTAGATATAATTCAGTGTTAGGTTTGCAAAATATAAGTCACACCTAAGAATTCTTGTCTCACATCCCCTATTTGTCCTCCAGTCTTGACATGACATCTCCTAGTAGTAGGGCAACCGCCCCTCACTGCTATTAAACTTCTATTTCTGACCAAGTACTAGGAAGTAGCACTGGAACCACATGTGGACAAAGCAGAAGATCTGGACCATTCTAGCCAGCCCTTCAAAGGCTGCACATGAGAAATCAGGCATTGCAGAATCCTGCTGGGCCACTGAGAGCATTTTACCAATGGAACTGCCCCAGGATAATTTACTGAGATACCAATGACTGTTATTCTGTCTGTATTCTCTCTGGCTTAATTTGCCAGAACCTCCAGTATATGATTGCAAAACTCTGAACATTTTTAATGTTGCCTTGTGTCGGGTTCCTAAGCCTGGAAAATGGAGGATGGATCTGTTACTAGACCACACTTAATTCATGAAGGCATTGAACTCCACCACTGAGGTTTTTAGGAGTCAGCTTTCTGGACCCACTGGGCATCAAATGCTAACACTTTAGCTGAGCAGCTATGAGCATCTTAAATACCTACACATAAATACCTAGTCATGAGCGACACTTGACAACTCCTGTGGAGACAATGTGGACCAGAATGAGTGGGATTAGCATTGGCTTGTGTCTTTGGCTTGGCCCTTGCCTCCCAGAAATCTCATCTTTCTTGAAGTCTCATGGGGGCAGGGAAGTTAGACTTTTTTCTTGACCCCATAGAGGATATAACAGATAAGAGGAGGAAAGCCTTGTCCCAAGAGGGTGCCCACCCTGGGCTCTGCTGAGTGTCCCAAAAGACAGGGTCCCCACTGGAACACCAACTCCCAGCTGATGCATGTAGGAAAAAGATAGGGGTGAGGAGGAGGTGTGAATCCTCACTATCTTCAAATGGGCCTTTATTTGGTAGCTGCTTTTTAACACAAATAGAGTTTGGGGGAAATCAGGAAAGAGAGAAGGCCAAGGGCATTACAATGAATCGACGCCCCACTACGTTCCCAGGCATATGTGATTCATATATGTGATCTCACTGAATTCTCCACTCTCTGCATGGGCATTCTCAGGAATCACATTATAAAATGAAACAGACCCCAAAAAATTAAGCAACGTGCTCAAGGTCACATGGCTACAGAAAGTGTGTACACACACATGCACACACAGCACTCGTGCCTGCCCAGCTGCAAACTCTCTTTTGTATCACTCTAAGAGGTGGTGGAAGCCACAGCGGGCAGAGTTTAGCTCAGCAAACGAGAGTGTTCTGACAATCAGAGTTCTCTTAGAATGGCTGCTCAGGTGGCCCAGGTGCTTCCTCTCCAGGGAATTGTTGTCAGAGAGGCTGGCAAATATCTTCCTCAGGGGCCACGGAGGTTACCTTGGGCAGAGATAAAAGATCAGTTTTAAGACCTCGCAGCTCTGAGCCTTTATCTCTCAGTTGGGAGCGACCTGACCTGGAGGATAAGAGCCCGAAGCTCCTGCTCAGTTATATCAATTTCTGACCTCATTATCCTCCTCTAACATAAGAGCATCAGGCTACAGCAGAGACTTTGTAAACATTGTTAGCTGTAGAACTCTCTCCTTAAATGGGCTAGGTATGTGCCAACGTAGCTTTTCGAAATCATATTTACATACCTATACCTGTATCTATACATATGTATATAGGCACATGTATGCATATTTCATATATGATACACACTGAAATATACACCTGTCTGTGTGCATATATATTTGTGTGTGCTTGTGTGTATAATTGTGTATTTTTGTTTGTTTTGTTCCCTTCCTTTCCTCTTTCTGAGCGTGATCTGGGAACATCTTTGCTTCAGGAGGATTTTCGGCCCTCAAACAAAAGCTGTGTGGAGTCAACTGTTCTCCCTGTGTCAAGGAAGTGGGCAAGATCATTAAGATATTCTGCTACAGAGGTCTTTGTGGCAATAAGATGTGAGAAGGCACGCCTGCCAGGGTGACGAGAACCCAGAGGGAGATCTTTACCACATGTGAAAATGAGTCTGCTGTGTGTGTGTGTTTTGGTCGGGGGACGTTCATCTACCGCTGTGACTGGACTGAACTCTACAGCCAGATAAGCATCAAGATAAGGCACCCAGAGAAGCATCAAGATCTGGGAGGGGATGGCTGCCGTCCACGCGCAGCTACACTGACCAAGCCCATGGGACCCAGTGTGAACACAGAGGCTCTTATCACACATGTGGCCTCCAAGTTAAGAGCTTGCCAATTTTGAGGGTCACTGTGACCTTGAATGGTAAGCATGGAGCAGTAAACATGGTGGCCTGTGGCTTGGAGGCTGTTCTCCATTTTTCAGGCACCATGTGAGCCTCCCTGATCTGGTATGATTTAAGGAAGATGAGGAACTGGGGTATGTCTTCCATGTCAGAGTTTGTACTGAACTTTTTACCCATAGGGCACCCTAGATGTAAACCATAAAGAAATGGCTGCCCTGGTTGTGTTTTTCCTCCTTGTATCTCTCCTTCATCCAGAGGTGTGGCTCCACTGACCACAGAACTGGAAACTTAATTTCCAATCCCAAGCACTGCTGTTCTAGAGACAAATGTGACAGTGCAGGTGAAAACTGGAAGTGGTAAGACAGACGAATGTTGTTATTCTCTGACAAGATGATTTTCACTTGCTTGGATTTCCCCTGCAGATTCAGGACAATCTGACCAGCCAGGACGAGGAAGGAGACTTGGGGAAATTCTGATGAAAGTCCTTTGGGCTGTAAGTTTCATGAGGGTAGGACTGGTGTCTGCCACGTCCACTTCTCAGCCTCCAGTGCCTGGCACATAGTGGGTGCTCGATATTCCCTTGTTTATTGATTGATGTCCATAGTAGTGCTGTTCAGCCCCTCTGCAAAGACTCCCTCCCTTACTTGACTGGCAGCTATAGCCTAAGTGGGCAGCGAAGTCCTAGGCCAGAAGCCAGGTTACCACAGGTGAACAAGAGACAGGCTGAAAGGGGCCAAGGCTGTGAGTGAATGGTCTATGAGTCAATTCTAGCCCATAGGGGCCATGGGGCTGGATGTGAGGAGCTCAGCCAGGAAGAGGTGTGGAAAAGCATAAAGCTGGGTGATAACACAGCAAGGGTTTGTGAGGAGGTGGTAGGGGGTGGGAGAGAGGTGGATGCAGAAAACGGGAGAAATGTAAGCAGAGGCTAGCCTGCCCACAGCTAGTACCCAGTGATTGTTGTTCAATAAATAAAAGAGAAATCAGTCGTTTCCATCTAGTTATTAAGGCCATGGCAGCCTCCATGCAAGGCGGTCTGCACTCTTCCCCACGAAAATCTCAAAGATGGAGCTCTCATTGATCTCTTTCTCCAGGACAGGAAGCTCGGGATCTTGGTGAAGACCTGGGGCGGGGGGGGGGGGGTTCCATTTTCCACCCAAAGGAGGCAATGACCTGGGTGGCATTGTTACACAGGAGGGGCCCCCAGAGCCTCCTTCAGGCAGAGGAAGGGAGGATTGAGCTGGTCTCCATGTGGTCCCGCTCTCCCTGTCTCCCTGGGGTGGATGCTCTCTGTTTGGGTGCTGTATGGGAGATCAGGGGCAGTCCTGGGGTCCAGTCCAGGGATCGAGTGTTCTCCCAGCTTGACCCTGGCCTAGGACCTGCCCACTGAGCTTCTGTGAGGCTGCACCTCTGGAGCTGCTGCCTGGCTTTGTGCAGGCCGTGCTCTCACAAAGGTGCGAGCCTGAACTTGGCTCTCTAGGGCTGATCCCCAGCTTGGGGCTGCAGAGCCTTGGAGGAATGGCCACCATTTTCTTCACACAAAGATGTAGTTTAATACCCAGTAGCCACATGAGTGACAGTCCTGAGGGGGTGCCTTCCTGTACTTACTCCTGTCAGAGGGGGCGGCTTTTTCTGAGGCAGCTACCCCTGGGGACATGATTTCCAAATGCAAACCTCCAGACGAGGCACTGTATTAGTTTTCTATGGCCATTGCAACAAATTCTCACCAACTTGATGGCTTAAAAGGGTGGAAATTTATTCCCTCACAGTTCTGGAGGCCGGAAATCCAACATCAATTTCCCAGGGAATCTGTTTCTTTCCTCTTCCAGCTTCAGGAAGTGCATTCTTGGTCCATGGGCTCTTCTTTCATCTTCAAAATATACAAAGATATAATTGAAGGAAATACAAAGAAGCCAAGATAACAGGAAAAAATTAGCATTATCTAATATTCACCACCCAGTTACAACCACGACCAACCATTTGGTGTACATTTTAATAGGCTTTTTACTATGCAAATTTCTATATTTAGTAGAATAAAAAAGGGATAATGCTACACATAAGGTTTTTTCCCTTGTTTTATTGAGATATAATTGACATATAGCACTGCATATGTTTAAAGTATACAGCATAATGACTTGACTTGCAAATATTGTGAAATAGTCATCACATGAGTTTAGCTAACATCCGTCATCCCTCTACCATGGTTTGTCTTGGTCTCTGCAGTGCAGGGGTGCTTCAGCCTCGGTCCTCTGTTCTAGGATTTTCTCAGTGGTGTCTTGTTCATGAATAGTTGTTAGTCATTCTTCTCGTGAGGGGGAGCAAAGTGGGGAATGACCTATGTTGCCATCTTGGTGACGTTACTCTCCCACACATGAGATTTTGTACCTTCTTCTGTTACTTGGTCATCTATGACTGTCAGGAAATACTAGTTATCATTTCAATGGCTGCTTCTATTTTGTCATTTGCACGTGATATATGAACTTACAACAATTTACTTACTGATGCCCTTTCTGCTTTATTTCAAGGTTGCTCTCATTTTTAAATTTTCTGCTAGTATATACCATACTGCAATGAATAACCTTTAAATACTTGTCTCATTGTCTGAGAATAAGTACATAAACTGGGTTTGCTAGTTTAAAGCATACTTGCATTTTTTTAACTTATTGCACACATTAGCAAATTGCTATCTAAAAGGATAGTACCAATTTATGTACTCAATATCAAGAAATTTCTATGGCAGTTTCTCCTCACTGATGGGAAAACAGAGTATTGTCATTTTTTTAAATTGTTGCCAGTCCAAGAGGCTAAAGTGTTAACTCGAAGTTTTAATAATTTTCTCTTTTTGGAGTGAGAGGATGCAAATAGCCAGCTAAAGTTTTTCACCTGGTTTTCTATAAGGTTCCTAAAAATCATATTTATGTTTATATCAAGTACTATTATGTGTATATACCATAGTTAATGCTTTCCGCTTTGTTATTTAGGTTGTTTCTCATTTTTAACAATTTTAAATAATATTGCGATGAGCATCTTTATGCTCAAAATTTGTTGTAGAAACGTGTGAAGCTGTGAGAGTGTACATGTTTGTGTCTGTGTGTTTCACACTGTTTACAAGATAGAGTCCCAGTAGCAGAGTTATTGTGTCATATTGTTACCAGCCAAGGGAGGGTCCTCTGCTCACTGCAAGACACGCCTGTAGTCAGGAGGCAAAGTGGTGGGAGACAAAGGATTCCTCTATTACAGCTTGCTAGCAAGAGGGAAGATGGAGGACTAACATCCAAAAGAATCATCTTACACAACAAAGACTACAAGCTGGTTATATAGGGGGTTGGTCTCCAGGTGGGGAAGGCAGCTGGTCTCTGGGTGGGGCCACCATCTGATCTCCAGGTGGGGGCAGACATCTGCTCCCAGTTCCTGACAGTCCTTTGTCTTGTTGGATGTGCATTAGAGAATGGAGCCCTCGCATACTCATAGATTTTTCTAAGTGGTACAAGATTGCCCCTAATCCAGAAGAGGGAATTTTTGAAATTCAGGAAGAGGATAGGATCCCAAAGTCAGGAAAGACTTTGCACAGCAGATTGGATTAGCTTTTTGTAGAATCCTCCTCTGAAGAGAACCAACCTGGGATGAATAAGAAGATTGCTCACTGAGGTTAAACTATCTTTTCTTTAGTGGCAGCAGTCCACTAAAATGTAGTTATTGAACTACTTTCGGTGATTTTGTGAGGTAAAGAATAACTCCCAAAATGATAGGGCAGTGACAAGGTGAAATAGTTCTAATTGTGTCCTTCACAAGAGAAACTGAATGAAGGTTGGTTGAATAAATACAAAAGTAACACCCTGACTTCCATCTTTAGTGATAGCAGGCCAGGTTATTTGGACCAACCCTATGAATGAAACAGATTTAAGGGAAAAAACAGGGGGAATAAAATTTTTTAAAGCATTGACAAACTGACAAGACACCAAGGGACTGTCAGGTTAAATTTTCGATTTAATTCTGAAACCCGGAAAGGTAATCAGAAGTCAAGACAACTCAAGCTGGTTTTGCCCTGAAGCTATTTGCCATGTAAACAATTGGGCCTTCAGTTCTGGTGATTTCTTGGGGGAAGAGGGATAAAACTGAAGGCCCAGGGTCCAACCAATATGGAGAGTCAAGTAACAAACTGTCCTCATGTTAATCTGGTCCCCGACAAGCCTGCCTTTAGCATAACAGTGAGCAGAAGTAAATCTACCCTTGACAGAGAAGATAGCCTTGGCACTGAACAATGCAGGAAAATGGAGAAAAGGGAAAAACAATCAGATTCTGAGAAGCTGTGACCATGGACAGCCTTCCTGAAGATTTGCAGCCCAGGTTCTCATTGGGTCTCCAGCAGTGGTCTTGATTTCCAGGTGGTTTAGAAGGGAGATGCCTCCAGGGGCCAGGCAGAAGCCATTGCAAATCCTCTCTGAAGAAGATACCTTTATTCCAGGCCTTGGGAAGCCTGCCACCCTCGGTCCCTACCCACCACACATGCAAAACCTTTTAAAAAAGTACCAAGCTGCACATAATCAAAATGCTAAAGAACACATGGAAACGTTACCCCGTGAACGAGAGCCAGCAGAAATAACTCTTAGTACAGACAGATCAGCAACTATGTGCTTGAGATTTGGAATATCTTGCACATATTATAATACAAAGTTAAAAATGACTGCAGGGAACAGGAAAATATGAAGTGTCATTACTGATTGGATAAAGGACTAGATAGAATTTCCAAATATAAAAAAAGAAATTCTTACTGAAACCAAAGGGGTTTCCTCCTGGCCGGTGAAATCAGACTCTCCACCAGAAGGAGCTGACTCACACAGTAAGGTGTATTTGCATCAAATGGGAGACCATGAGGAATCATTTCTGGAATCATGGGGTTCCCGAACAAAGGGCAGGAGGGACTTTTATTTTAGTTGGAGAACAGGAGTTTCAAAAGGGAGAGGTGGATGGGGTGGGCCTGGTGGCGCAGCAGTTAAGTTTACATGTTCTGCTTTGGCGGCCCGGGTTTAACCGGTTCGGATCCTGGGTGTAGACATACATGCCATTTGTCAAGCCATGCTGTGGCAGGTGTCCCACATATAAAGTAGAGGAAGATGGGCACGGATGTTAGCACAGGGCCACTCTTCCTCAGCAAAAAGAGGAGGATTGGTGGCAGATGTTAGCTCAGGGCTAATATTCCTCCAAAAAAAAAGGGAGAGGAGGGCGTTCACTTGAGCGGGCTAAGATGGGAAACATGCTTCCACATACTGCAGGTTCATAAGGCCTAAGCTCCTCCTGGAGAGACCTTAGCACTTAAAATAAGGCCAAGGTCATAGACATAGCTCTCCTAGTGAGGCTTGGTCTGGTTAAGGGTGGTTGGTTGCATCTCCTTAACATAACAAAAGGGAAGAGAAATGATTTGGAAAAACAGTCAAATGCTTTCAAACCGCCCCCCCTACCCCCTGAACTCCTCAGGGTAATTAGTCCTGACAAAATAAGAACATTAAAAACGAAGTGGGTGGATTTGCTTGCACATTGAGGACACCAGAAAAGAGGATTCTTAAGTGGAAGAAATATCTGAAGGAAAAAAGAAATACACTTTTAAATAACCCACGATAAAATAAAATTTAAAAAGAAATAGAACGTTTTCTGTTGAATAATAACAATACCAGTACTTATTAAAAATTGTGGAACACAGCTAACGCAGATAGAGAAAAATTTATAGGCTTAATCCTCACATATTACAAAAAACTGAAATTGTTGGGGTGATCATATAACCCCAGAAGTTAGGAATTAATACGTGAATAAATTCAATGAAGTGGGAGGAAGAAATAATAAGTATCAGAAGTTAGCGAAATAGTAGGCAAAGATACAACAGAGAGGTTTAATAAAGCAAATACTAATTATTCGGAAAGGCTGATGAAATTGACAAGCCTCTGGAGAAACTAATCATGAAAGAAAGAGAGGAAGTGCAAATATTTGAGATCGGGAACTAAAAAGGGAATATTTTTGCAAAGCTGCAGACCATTAAAAGATAAGCCAAGAATGTTATTTAAAACTTTATGGGAACAAATTTAAATTTTTAGACAAAATAGAAATATCACTGCCTAACTCCTTCTCGAGAAGCAATTGCCACCTTAGGTAATACTGGAGCTATCAAAGAAATTGCATCAGCCATCAAATATTTTCCACATAGGCAACTGACCTAGACGGCTTCACTGTTCATTTCTACCAAAATTCAAGGAAGGAAAACTTTGAATCTACAAATGCTTCCAGAAAAGAGAAAAAGAAGGAACACTACCATCTCGTTTTATAAGGCTGGCATAACCTTGACACAAATAACAGGATAAGAAAGGAAACGTGCAGGTCAACCTTATGCATGATTCATAGACACAAAACCCTAAACAATATCAACTCTCAAAACTAGTCCAACAATACATAAAAAGGGCATAAGCAATTTAAGTTTACACCAATAGTGCAGATCTCATTTAAACTTAGAAAGATCGACATTTTGCCACACAAACAGATCTAAGAGAAAAATCATTATCTCACTACACAGAAAGGCATTTGGCAAAAATCAACATCCTACAATCGAGTGATAACAAAGATAACCTGTTATCAGACCAAAACAGAAAGAAATTTCCTTAATCTAATAAATGGTATCTGTAAAACCTACAAAAACAGTTTAACCAACCCCTCATCTAGTAAGATAACCAAGGTTTCCATCCTTCCTGCAAGATTGTGAGAAAGCCCTTCCCTCTCGGCTGCTTTGCACACTGTGCAATCCTGGTGTTCTCCAGCTCTTTCCCTTGGGCAGGCTTGAGTCTGGAAATGACCCCAAGTGGGATCCTGTCAGGAAGTCTATGGAGA